CATTTTTTTTGTTTTTAGTCGAATAATTGAATAAACAATTTTAATAAAACGAAATCTTCAATTCTTTATGGTTTATAAATTATTTTTTCTCAATCATTTTCAATTTTCAGTTCTTTATGGTTTATAAATTATTTTTTCTGAATTTTTTTAAATTTCTTTGTAAATGTAGGAATGTAATTGTTCTATTTAAGGTATTAGTATAATTTTGATTTCTTTTGAAATCAAAAATTTATTACGCTTGATTTATGAAAAATTATTTAATGAAAAATGTGTGTATGTGTGCAATAATAGAAATAATATTGCTGATTATTAGTCAAAATTTTGAATAAGAAATATGAACTATATATTTAAAAACTTAATTGTCTCACAATAACTGTTGTGATAAACGAAAAAAATTAGTAGAAAATATTTGGTATAATTGCAATAAATTGTTTTACTATATTTTTATTTGTATAATTTTCTATGACAACTCATTCCTGTTAAATATGTTGCATGAAATTGCGAGAAAAGGCACGAATCTGAAACTAATTAATTTTTAGTAATTTTTAGTAAATTGATATAAAATATATTATGAATATACTGTATTTATGTCACTAAGATTTGTTAGTAAAGTACCTAGATGTCAATGTATAAATTTGGTTGAATTTGAATAATATATTTTTAATCAAGTAATTAAATGTTATTATGATATAATACATTTAATTTAAGTATTTTATATTGTCAATTTTATGTTCAATTAATTATTCAAATAAAAATAAATAAATTTTTATATACATAAGAAATAATACCATAGTTATTACTATTATAAATGTGTAAAAATATATTGTAAAGATAAAGCTTAAAAATTATTATTAGGAATATTAAATATATAATTTACAATGCTTATATTTATTATTTGATATAAATTATAAATTTTCAAAATGAAATATAATTTGTTGTGTATTATATTTTAATTTGCATTATACTTTTATTAAAATGTTCTATATTTTTGAATTATAGAAAAGCGAATTATCGATATTATAGCTTGCAATCTTTCCGGCACGATTTAGGCGGGAAGATTACTTCAAGAATTATTATATGTGGTTAATGTTGTATATAAGAAAAATAAGTCTATATCAAGTTTACATTTGAAAATATTTGTGAAAATAAATTTGAAAAAATGCCACCAAAAATATCAAGAGATTATACAAAAGATAGGGGTAAGTATATTATGTTTAATCATAATGATATTATATATAACCACTATGATTTAAATTGTAATTTTAATGTACTTAATATAATGAATTATTTAATTTTATTTATTTTATTAGAAAAGTTAAAAACTTTTTTGACGGAATTTGTAATAGTGGATGATATAACTGATGAAAAAACATTTAAATACAGAAAACAACTCACTAATATTGCTCATCGTGAACAAGTAGATTTAACAATAGAATTAGATGATGTACATGAATTTGATGATGAATTAGCAATGTGTATTGTAAATAATACTAGAAGATATGTCAATTTACTTTTGGAGGTAAATTATGTTTATGTTATATGTAATATACAAAAATATTAACATATTTATAGTTTAAATGTTTTCTTTTTTATTCCAATATCATTTCATTTGTATTTTAGCAAACTCAATTGTACATTTATGGCTATGAAGATAAAAAAATTAAGATAAAAACTATTACATTATTTTAAATAATATTTGCAAAAATCTGATATTATGTTCTTCATATTATTAGCATATTGATATAACTTTCGTTACTTCTTATTATATTTTATTTTATTAAATTAATGCTTGATAATTGTATTATTTTATCAATTGCATTTCTTGCATATAAATAATACTTATAATTTATATAAAAATTTTAAACATAAAATTTCCTTTTTAAATCAAAGATATTTAAATTTGAATAATTTTTAATCAAAGAATCCAAATTTTAATTAAAATTTTGAATTCTTTCCAATAGACTATGAATGTGTTAATTTTATCTTATATTTATTTTTAATATATATATATATATTTTATATTGATTGAAATAATTGATATTTACATTTACTTTTATTTAGCTTATTCAAGAAATGTTACCTGATTTTAAAGAAAGACATATACCTCCAAAAGATGCTCTGGATGTATACATTGAACATAGATTATTAATGGAGAGTCGTAATAGACATCTTGGAGAACAACGTGATCCAAGAAATAAATATGCTCCGGAACTTATGAGACGCTTGTATATGATTTTAATATTTTAATTTTTGTTTTCTTATGCAAATATAAATTTATATATATAATACAAATAAATTTTATGAATATTTCAGTGAAGTATATTTCAAAGATTTTGATACAACAAAAGCATATTCCGTGAGAGATATAAAAGCTGATAAAATAGGAAAATTAATTACGGTGCGGGGTATAGTAACAAGAAGTAGTGATGTAATGCCTTTGCTTGTTGTTGCTACATATACATGTGATCAATGTGGTGCTGAAACATTCCAACCAGTAAGAAATGAATATTTTCATATATAATGGATTGAAAATCTAATTGAATTAAAATTTTTCAGGTTCAATCTCTTAAATATATGCCATTACGAGAATGTCCCAGTGATGATTGTCGTATAAATAAATCTGGTGGTGTATTAGATATGCAAACAAGAGGATCAAAATTTGTAAAATTTCAAGAAATAAAAATACAAGAACATGTATGTACAAGAATATTATATATATATATATATATATATATTAAATTTTTTATATTAATGCTTAATAATAACTTCCTTATTTATAATAACATTATTTTAATAATTTTAAGAGTGATCAAGTTCCTGTAGGTAATATTCCAAGAGCATTGACAATATATTGTAGAGGTGAAACAACAAGAAAATGTTTACCTGGAGATCATGTACTTATTACGGGTATTTTCTTACCTATTATAAAATCTGGTTTTAATGCTCGAGTGGGTGCAGCTCTTTTGAATGAAACATATTTAGATGCACATGTATGAAATTGATCATTTTAATAAATTAATATAATATATTATTAATATTTAATACATAAATAATCATATATATTTTGTAGAGGATTGTTCGTCTTATTAATTCGCAAAGCTCTGACGATAACGATACGATATTAAAAGATGAGGAATTATCTTTATTTATGGAGGATGATTTTTATGGTAAACTAGCTCGTTCTATCGCTCCAGAAATATATGGACTTGAAGATGTTAAAAAAGCACTCTTATTACTCTTAGTTGGTGGTACAGATAAACACAAAGATGATATTAAAATTAGAGGTTTGTTTTATATATTTGTGAATATTATTTATATCTATATATATATTTTTTTTACTTTATTATTTTTATTATTTGCAGGTAACATTAATATTTGTTTAATGGGTGATCCTGGAGTTGCCAAATCTCAATTACTTTCATTTATAACGAGATTGGCACCTCGTTCTCAATATACAACAGGCAGAGGATCTTCTGGAGTAGGTTTAACCGCTTCGGTTATGAAAGATCCTTTAACTGGTCAAATGATGCTCGAAGGAGGAGCTTTAGTATTATCCGATCAAGGCGTTTGTTGTATCGATGAATTTGATAAGATGGCAGATGCCGATCGAACTGCTATTCACGAAGTGATGGAGCAACAAACTATATCAATTGCCAAAGCAGGCATTACAACTCGTTTGAATGCAAGAGTTTCGATATTAGCCGCAGCAAATCCTGCTTATGGTAGATATAATCCTAAAAGAACAATTGAACAGAATATTCAGTTACCTGCTGCTTTATTATCACGATTTGATTTACTATGGTTAATTCAGGATCGAGCAGATCGTAATAATGACTTAAAGTTAGTGTTTATATAAATTTTACACAATTATAATTATAATAATTCTATTAATATATTTTTACAGAATGGCTCAACATATAACTTATGTTCATCAACATTGTATACAACCACCGATGCAATCGCAAGCTTTGGATATGAATTTAATGAGGAGATATATTACTTTATGTAAAACAAAACAGCCTGTTATTCCAGAAGAGTTGACCGATTACATAGTTGGTAAGAATTTCATCAACTTTTTCTAATTTTATTTTTTTTCTTTTTATATATAATATTTTTTTCTACATGTATAATTATATTTTCATACAATGATTATTTTCAGAGTCTTATGTAGAAATGAGAAGAGCAGCTCGTAATGGTGAAGACAAAACTTTTACATCTGCGCGTAATTTATTAGCATTATTGCGTTTATCGACTGCATTGGCACGTTTAAGATTATCAGATATCGTCGAAAAAGCGGATATCATTGAGGCAAATAGATTAATAGAAATGTCTAAACATTCTATCAATTATTCCGAAAGATTACTAACAAATGTTCAACAGAATCCAATAAATCGAATTTTTCATCTTATTAGAGAATTAGCGGGTGATAAGAAAACTGTTAAAGTATCAGATATATTAGAACGATGTACTAATAAAGGATTTAAACCTGATGAAGTTAATGATTGTATTGAAGAATACGAAGCACTGAATGTGTGGCAAGTGAATCAGACAAGAACACAAATTACTTTTATCTAAATATTTCGTTTCTCGTAAATTAAATATGTTGAATGTATTATTTTTTATATTTTGATATGTAATTTCAAAAGTATTTTTCTATATTTTGACTTATTATTATAAATAAATTATATATTTTCTTTATTACAATACGATACATTCATATATTCGTAAATTTATTTGTCTATTTTTGTATATTAATAATTTTGTTTTAAATTATAATGGAATTAACGCCAAAAAAGATAATAGCCGGTGGCGACACATAATAACATGGTGGCATCTTTGGAAAGTATTATTTGGGTAGGTAAGTAAGCAAGTATATATCTACTAGGTAGGCAACTAGTTCGGAATGGTTTGAAAGTTAGGTGGGAGAAGGTATAGAGTAGCGACGAATCGGAACGAGCGTAGTGGGAGAGTATCAGTCGGTCGAATTGTGAATACGCGGTGCCGCTCTCGGCACTTCAGTCGCATCGAGCTACTCGTGGAACGCGTGTCGTGTTGTGCATGCATGCATGCTTGCGTGCGGTTAAACGTGCGTGCATGTGTGTGCTTATTATTGTGGTGTACCCGGAGTGGTCGCGTGTGCATGTGTGCGGATCATAACACGGTGTTGCGCGGTCTCGACAGTGCATGTCGTGATTACTATAGCCATCGTCTCGTCTGTCCGTCCATCGCGATCACGCCAAATGCACGTCTCGCGCTTCTCGAGATCTTGCAGTAACACCCGTGGTTGTTGCTGTGCCGTTTGACAGCGCGGCCGATTCGAAGAACGAAGAGGAAAGGGGAAGGAAGCCGCGTCTAGTCCCGCGGTTGATGACTCTTCGAACGATCGTACCGAATACGCGACGACGAAGGAGGAGAAAGAGGAATTGAATCGTCTCGTTGCTCGTGCTGCGTCTCTTTTTCTCTGTTCTTCTTGCGCTTCAGAGCACGATTTACGGAACTTACCACCAATCTTTTTCGCACAGTTTCCGCTCTCGGTTTCTCTTTCTTTCGCTTTTGCTTTTCTTTAGCAATTCATCTCGCCGATTTGGCCATTTTGCCAAAATGAAAATAATTCAGAGGTATCGTCGTGCGATTCTGGCACCTGTATCGATCGTGATATTATTATGCGGTTGTACCGATCTCGTGTCATCTCGATCGCCACGTTTTGCCGAACATCTAAAAAACGATACCGACTTCGTGTCCGTTGATTGTGAACGTGTTAAGCCATTTTTCGAGAGCAAGAATATCACGATCTTGGTTGATAGAAAACAAGCTACAGCAGAAGACATCGCAAAAAGTAAGTGATTAGTTTTATCATTTTAATAATAATTTTTCGATAATTTGTTTATATCAATTATGTTTGTAATTTATATTTTAATATCGAAACGAATCAAAAAAATCGAATTCAGAAAACTATTCTCATTTTGAACCAATCTTGCTGAACTTATAAATCATATTTAATTTCTATTGGTCGACAATTTCGCAAATGAGTGAAACTTGGTATAGCAGGTACTCTGCGATTCGTTGGAGGAAATGATCTAAAAGACTTGATTATAGTCGGTTGACTCTAATTACGAAGTTTTATTTAGTAGTCCTCGAAAAGTCGTTACATTAAATGACACTTAATGTTATTACATCAAATAACACTTGAGTACTTCTTGTAAAAACCTGTTTCAATTGTCGTGAGAGCGATAAATCTTACATCATAGATATCTTTTATGGTATGTTTCTTACCGACACAGCCTGATAAATGATATCCGTTTATAGAGAAACTTTTCGCGCGCTTATTTGCAATTTCTTTTAAAAGTTATTTCGATATTTAGGTTATTCAAAAAACTTGATTGCATTTTAAGCATAAATAAATTTTAAATACGCTTCAATGTTATAAAATTTATTATAACTTTTGTTTCTATATTTAAGAAATTATTTAATTGTTAATAGAAAATGATTGACTTTTTACACATATAAAATTATTCAGTGTCAACGTATCATTAAATAATCATATTATATTAATTGTTTAAGCTATTATTAGTTTACCATATAACTTATAAATTAATAAGTAATTGAATTTTCGAGAAAAATAGAAAAAAAAAACAGAATTTTATTTGTTTCATGTTTTTTATATAATATTACGAGGATTTGATTAGATTTTTGTAATTTATTAAAAAATGCTTTTTATGAAATTTTTAATATTAAATCGTTCCATGAATTTAATTGTGAAAATATAGAATATACTTACTTATCTCTACTAAATTTCGGTCAAGTTAAAAAATGTGTAGCTGTTAGTGAGATTTTTGGATATAATTCACACAAAATCCGCAATCACATGTAACGTGTTCAAGGTACACCAAACCAATACCGCAATATGTGACGAGGTGGTTAAAAATCTCGTTTATTTATCTAGATTTTCCCAAATATTCTCGAGCAGTGGGGAAATGGACATTAATTGTTAACGGTTAAATCGGCATTAGATAAAGACATGATTTATATTCGCATTGGTACATAATACATACATAATACATACATAAATACTTAAATGATATTAAATGATATTCCGGAAAAACAATCGCGTGCCGATTCCCGATACGTTATGCTACGTTCTTCGTCCGGAGGGCTGAATGAACGAATTACTCTTCCTCCTCCTCCTCGTCCTCCTTCTCCTCTCTCTCTCTCTCTCTCTCNCTCTCTCTCTCTCTCTCTCTCTCTCTCTCTCTCTCTCTCTCTCTCTCTGGATTATTGTATTCTAACCCACTTTACACGATTGTAACCACTCGTCGAATCGAGGCCGAAGGGTCGCTGATATAGCTTCCGGTTTTATGCACTTCCCTGCGTCAAGTGCCGTACATCACACCTAACGGAGAAAATAGAGAGATATAATCGGCTGTTCTACGCGCGGTCGATTCGAGTGCCATGACGCTAATGTTCTTAATTTAAACCGATAAATCGCTTATCGGTTTAAATTAAGAATATTAGCGTCATGGGATCGCTTCATCACTCTTTTTGGCGGTTAACTTGGTTGCGATACAATGCACACGGAAACGGATACAGTTTTTGGAAAACGATACAGTTTTCTTATCTATGCATTTATCTGTACATACAATTTGAGAATGTATGATTTTTTTTTTTTTTTTAATAAATATAACAAAACATGTTGAAATTATGAATTTATATGCGTCATAAAAATGAAAAATAATTTTAGAAAATTATTTATATTTCGTTATTTGGAAAAGATTTATTTTCATCACAATTTATACAACGTTGTGCATTATGGAAAATCGTATTCGAATATCGATTGGGATAATCAGGCTTTTGCTTCAATGAATATTTCTCCATTTAAATCATTCGAAGCGTATAATTAAAGTGAATTTTTTGCGATTTCATTGATAATTTTATTTTTACAATAATATTTTTATCGTTTTATTCTTATTTTTTGAGCGCGCTGCGTTTTTAAAAATTAATGAACTCCTCGTACAGGGATGAAAAAGTAAAGATAACTTTTACACTTTTGCAGCCGACCTCTGCTTATTGACATGAAATTGATGCGCGTTTTTCACATCTCGGTGAACGCAATAATAAACTTTGGAGGATAGTATCGACCAATTTGACAAGTGCTGTTTCATGTTTTTGCTTTTTAAAGAAGGTGTCAAGAATGTGTACATTTCGGTACATTTAACGCAAATATTAGGTTTCACCGATGGCTTGTGAAAGAGGAAAATATTGAAAGACAAGAGGCAGACCAATTTTCTCACTTTAACATTTTCTTCGAACAATTTACGGTAAATATAAAATATAATAATAGAAAATTATATAATAATAGGAACAATAATAGGAACAATATTTCTTCTAATTATTTGAATTAATTTTTTTAACAAAATATTAAAAGTTTATGTAAAATTCACCTAATATTTACATAGAGATTTATACGATGATAATAAACTATCAATATCTACCCTATTAAAAATAGACTGTTTTTAAGACCTTTTTATTTAGAAATAGACTATTAAAAATACTCTAATTAAAAATGAGAGAGAGGTTAGGTTTATGATAAAAACATTTCGTTTGTAAAAAATATTGGATAATTGAAAGATTAATACTTGATACCAACTTGCTCTTGGTACGTATAAGTAAGTACATTTTATTTTAAAAAAAACTTGAAAAAAAATCATACGTTAAGAAAACGAAACCTTTTGGTAGCATCGCGCCACACCCCGACAACGCAAACCGTTCGAGAGATATTCTTGGTGTCGGTCCCTTTTATTCCCTTTTTTTCGTCCTTTTCTATCTCTATACTATTCGTGGCGCTTCCGCCATTTCGAACGATTCAAGATGGAACTCGTCGCACAGGTACAAGGATTCTTGCTTCCGCGCGACATTAACAGAACCGATGTATAGCACGTATATACGTATAGTCTGTCCTAAGTATAGTCGGTGCCCAGTGAAACTGGTAAATGTATACGTCTCTTCTCTACTTTGTAACAGGTTAGCATTGAATATCATAGATATTTTTCTCCTTTTTTCGTTTGAATTAAACGCCGTTAAAACTAGTTATTTTCTTTGCCCTTAAATAATGATTTATTTATTATTATATTATCTCTATATACATTATAAATTAGAAGATAATTTTGAAATAATTAAACAGGGCGAAATAAGAGAGGCAAATATGTGAGCATGTATGGATAGATTGCGAAACACGTTTCGCAGTATTTTTTTTACGAGAAACTAGCACTTGTTTTTATCGAATATTAAAAATTCCCTAGATTTTACCAAGCGAAGAATTTCGAATAGAATGTTTACACGGAATGTTCATATCGGTGAATTGGAATTTTTATTGGGGGTTTTTTTTTTGAAGTGTGATTTTTATGCTTTTGCGAACGGTGAAATTTAATGGTGGAAAAGATTGCTCGTTAAAGAAAACGAACACGAGAAGACTTTGAATATCGGTGAAAACGACAAACATGGGTATTAAAATTTTTTAGCTTCGCTTATGATAATCTTCTTTTTCGTTTCTTTTTTCATATTAATTCGCCAATGCAAACAACGAGTTATGACATGAGTTATATATGTATTATGTGTTTCGCGATGCTGAAATTCATTACCACGTTCGTTAAAATTCAGAGAAAGAAATGATCGCGAGAATATTTCATAATATTATATTATTTTTATTTTTATCTGCGGATAAAAAAAAGGAAGAAAGAAAATTGAACGCGCTTGACAATTTACATCGAATTGATGAATAAGGAAAGGCAAATTGCAACTTTTAAAATTATAATATGTTGATTTTTTATAATAATAATTTGATCTAATTTTTCGATATAAATAAAAATCGTCTCTGTGCAATTGAAGTAAAGACTTTTTAACATTGCAATATCGCAAATTATTGCGAAAACTCGATTCGATAAATCCATATTTTCACTACATTCAAATTTTGTCGCGTTTCGCTTATTCCTAATCGCGTTATTTTTAGAAGAATAAACACAATTTTTTTCTCTGCTCGCAGAAAAATCAAACGTCTTCGTTTTCTCTTCGAATCGTAATGTTTCTCGTCACAGTAGATCACATCGTCCCTGGATGTTCCTTTTTTTTTTTCTTTTCTTTTTCTTTCATTTTTTCCTTTTGTATTCGTCACTAGGAGTGTACCTTGATAGCACCAAGGTAGTACCAGTCAGAATGAACAGGTATCGGGGACAAAAAAAAATTTTCTCCCACGTTTTCCGCCACGATTTTTCACGATTCATCGTCCTTCTATTGTTCGACGCTTCTCGACCAGAGGTTAGATATCTTTCAAGCATGCGCACCAATTTATAGTTTTTAGTTTGCGAATGATTCGATCAGTAGAGATAAATAATGGAGCTTGCTAAATGCGTTTCACGTTCCGTCAAAATATTTCGTTCCATCTCTCATATATCGCTGTCGTATACTATTACATATTATAATTATAATAATATCATGGTTAATTGTACATTTTAAATAAACATTTCAAAAGTTGTTAATCAAGTGAAATTTATACGATTGGTAAATTTTTTTTTTCGGATAATTATTTTTTTTTTTTTTTTGTTTTAAAACGAACAAACATCATATGGTAAAAAATGAAATGTTTATTTTGATTCTTTTTTATTCCTGCAATTATTTACGTGGATACGAAGGGTATGAAGAGTGAAAAGATACAGAAGACTTTAATTCGCGACAAATGGTTAAAATTTAATACCTCGAACAAAAACGATTTGGAGGGTACAATCTGGTCTTTTAATTTCGTGAACGTTGTGCGCGGTCGTCTTGTGGCATTTTGGCGGTTGTTGCACCGTGACCGTTTAAGTGGCCCTAAATGAAATTAAATTGAGAGAACTGTCTGGTGCTCGTCCTTGCGAATATTGTAACGATAGGTGCATGCATGCGTATTACAATGTTACGCTACACGTCGTTTTATAGCTATAACATTTTTATTATCTAAAACGTATTCCTTATCAACATGTATAATTAACTTTTATATTTATATTTACAAAATTTAACAAGAGTTTATTATATACGTAATTAAGTTCATTATTTGATTAAAATTGTAGATTAGTTTCGTTCTGTAACTAAAAGTAAATTTAAACTCGTTCTACCATTCTGCTTGCCGACAATTGAATAATAAACTCAACTGTTTCAAATCTGAAAGTATATCGCGATTGTAAAAGCTAATTCGTATTTTTTCTTTTCTCTCGTGTGCAATGTTAATCAAGTCTGATTAAATTACAACACGCTTAGCATTGTTATCGTGTTATCTTGTCTCGCATTTTTTAACAATTTTTTAAATCCTTTGGAAAAAAAGATTTTCATTCACATCTTGATAAATAACTTTTAATCAATCCAATATCTTATTAAATATTTCATTTACCACGAAATATAAATATTCTTATCAATCTTATAGATTAATCAAAGCGAGATAAAGCTCTTCGAGTTCTACTTAATTCAAGCACAAGGTTTCTCGTAACTGATATATCCAGAATCGAAAATAGACCAACTTCTTCGCTTCGTGAAGTGATCATTGATGAAATTACATGCAGGGAGGGATGGTGGGTGAGAATGGGGCGCATTGTACCGTTTATCGTGAAGCGAAACGATCGGTGACAACTGGAACGGTGGAGGATGGATGAAAAATATAGAATGAGGCCGAAAGGAGCTATCGAAACGACCAGCCAGGACCACTCGAGGATCCCGTTAGCCTCGTTCCATTTGTCCGTTCACGACCCTTGCGACATAGATGCTAGTCCATCGTATTTTATCGGAGCGATTCCTCGTTCGTTCCGTAATTGCACGAGAGGTGGCGGGCCGCAAAATATCCTTCCCACACTGTTTTCGCGTCACGGTGAATTGACCTGTGAAAAGAAACGTGCAACGATTATTGAAATCGTTCTTCACGTTTCTCTATTACATACTTCCTATTCATCTCGATGAGAAGAATTTGTTTTACGATTTTTTTTCTTTTTTTTTTTTTTAGAAAAATTTCTCATTACTTATGTATTTATGTAACACGAATAATATATTTACTTATGTATAATTTATATGTAATAAGCTTTGTTAAATTAATTTATCGCGTTGCTGGAGAAAACATTTATTGTTAATAATATAATTTTGAATTTGTATTAATTTTTACACGATTACACGTAGCTTGTCTATATTTTAAAATTTTTTAAATATATTAAGAAAGGTATGGATAAGAAGAATTTGTTTTACGATTTTTTTTCTTTTTTCTGTTTTTAGAAAAATTTATCATTACTTATGTATAATTTATACGTAATAAGCTTTATTAAATTAATTTATCACTGTTACTGGAGAGAACATTTACTGTTAATAATATAATTTTGAATTTGTATTAATTTTTGCACGATTACACGTAGCTTATCTATATTTTAAACTTTTTAAATATATTAAAGAATGGATTAAGATCAATCAAATTTTATTCCAGCAACTTGTAACGGCATGTGCTGCAACCGGGACACCGAAGAACAATTAAGACATCAAGCCAGGGCAGATTTTCACGACTTGATCCATCATCATAGCAGAAGTTTGCAAGGCCTTTTGGCGACAACGGCGGATGCGTTAAGGGGTAAGTGTTTACGTAGCAAAAGGAGACACTTCAGAAGGTTTTCAAAAATTTTAATTTCATCCGCGTTGGAATTGGAACGAGCAATTTTTCACAAATCGATCGAGAGAAGTTAAAATTTAAATCATTTCGTTTTCAAATCGGACGAAAGAGGAGGGGGGAGGGGAGGAGGAGAAAGGAAAGAGCACGAAATCGAGTAGTTTCTTGACGAGAGTTCCAGAAATAGGATTGAACGAAACAGTTGTTTCTTGAATTGGCAAAACCAAATCGAGATTACTATTTTTACGTGCCAACTGGAACTCTGCGCTCTCTCTCTCTCTCTCTCTTCCACTCCTCACGCATTCTCCACCCTCTTCCTACCATTACCCATTACCCATACCATTACTTCTTTCTTGTTCCATCATCTCACCACGACTCTCGATAAACCACCGCGGTTGCTGAATTACTAAATTCATCCTTTTCACTCTCCCCTCCCCTCTCTCTCTTCCTCCTCCCCCTCTCCCCTCTCTTCAACTCATCCTCGAGGAATTTTTCTTCTTCTCTCCGTTATCTCCTTTACAGATCTACACATTAGAATCCAAGTGTCGCAAAAGAATGAAATAGAAATCTCTTTTTCCACATTGTTATTTATTATATTATTAACAACCGGCTCTTGGAAATATCTTAATTCCCTTGCGATTTGATGGAAAATTTCGGGCATTCGGATTTTTCGTTTGTAAAGTATACCTTTGAGCATGGATCCGTATGAACATCGTTCTGAAAATGGATTTCTAAGGAGGGGGGGGGGGAAGGAAAAAAAGGAAACGGAAGCCGCGACCGCTTTGAAAGCGAGTTGGCGGGAAAATGAACAGCCGCAGGAATCGAGCTCCTCTCTCGATAGACTTAGAGCAGCGCGGTGGTGGTTTTTCCACTTTTTTTATTTCCTCTCTCCCTCCCTCCTATTTTTCTCTCATTTTCCAGACACGTTCCAAGCTTCTCTCGCGTTTTCCAAAGCTTTCCAAGTTTTTATACTTCCCCCTCCCCTCTTCCATTTCTTCCTCCCTTTCTCCTTCATCCCCCTCCCCTCCCCTCCAACGACTTTTTCCCCCCTCGCGATATGACGACGCGAAAATTGCACGACTCTGAGTTGCAGAAAATGCAATTCGTGATTGGAGGGAGGGGAGGAGGAGGAGGAGGAGAGAAGGTTGAAATTTGAAATTCAAGGAAATAGGAAATAGGAGGCTGCTAAAATAGTAATAAAATAGTAGATACGTAAGGATATGTGCGACTCGGTTGTTTCGCGAAACTTTCGACTCGATTCGATAGCGCTGCGGGGAGAAAAGGAGGAAAAATAAGAAAACCCGTCGCGATTGCCGAACAATATCGGCGGTGGAAAGTTTTCGCTTTTAACCCTTCGCACTCCAGATGCTGTTTCGCTCGGTCGCACCAGCAATTCCAGCAACTCCAGCGTTCGGTGGAATTTCTTACAGCTAATTTATAATGATTTCACACACAAATTAACGCTAAAAAAATAATATAAAATATTATAAATAATATATAATATTAATTAAAAATAATATAAATTATAATAATAGTTTTATATTTTAATATTTTACGTATCAGCTAATTTATAATGATTTCACACACAAATTAACGCTAAAAAAATAATATAAAATATTATAAATAATATAAATTATAAAACTTTTATATTTTAATATTTTATGTATCAGCTAATTTATAATGATTTCACACACAAATTAACGCTAAAAAAATAATATAAAATATTATAAATAATATATAATATTAATTAAAAATAATATAAATTATAATAATAATTTTATATTTTAATATTTTATGTATCAACTAATTTATAATGATTTCACACATAAATATAATATAATATTAGTTATATAATATATATAATATTAATTAAAAATAATATAAATTAAAATATAAAACTTTTGTATTTTAATATTTTATGTATCTGTTGCCTGTCAAACTCGGACTAATGCCGAAGATATCGTTCGACTCACGGTCTAATTTGAGATAAAAAATCTTGCTATTTAACATATATTATTTAAATATATTTTAATTTTAAATATATTATTCTACACCTCTTAAAATTTTAAGAACTTTGGAACCGATATGAAGCGATATTCTAAAAAAATCAAACGTAAATAAATATTGTCGCCGTTCAAGGATTGCCGCAACAATCCTAGTGGCGCTGCAGTTACGGCATTAACTCGAGTGACGACCGAGTCACCGTTGAAGAGCAAAGAGTTAAAAAAAGTTAAATTTGTTAGTTCGTATTCGAGTCTATTCGATGATTTATTCTTTTTTTAATATCTTCCTCAAAATTTCATTCTACCAGTATTTGCGAGTCAGTGGATAAAAATTCAACCTTAGTCGGGATAAATTAAATTTATATATAATTATATAAATTTATATATATTTATAATACACCGTTCGTTTTTCAACGGGAGAAAATTGAAAATGGCTCGAAAAAGGAAAAAGGAACTATCGAGAGAAAAGAAAATCTTTTTTTTTTATAAGAATTTTTACAAAAATTCAGCAACATAAACGTTCGTTCGAAAATTGAAAGTGTTAATCATTTTGGCGAAAATGATAAATTTGGAAATTTAAATTTTTTTTTAAATTTCCAAAACGAGTCCCAATATTTAGGAAAAAAATTTGTAGAAAAAAATGACTTCGATTCTCGAGATAATTTTCGAAGAATTCGGAAATAAATAGATAAATAAGTAGAGAAGAATAGGAAACAAAGTGCACGGTGTATGAGAAACAAACTGAGAATAGTCGGGTTCTAATCCTGGCGAAGTTCTTGCGTAGATACTCTCTCTCTTCTTACGTTCCATCGTAAGAATAGAAAAGCTTCACGGTGCAAAGACGATTCTATTTAGTAGACTTGGTTCACCATTGTCTCTTTGACTTTGGATTCCTTTATCGTTCCCTTAACGCTTTTATTATTACATTCCCCTCCCCTCTCTCCGGCTTGAGAGGATTTAATAGACGATGCGAGAATCTATGGGATGTGTAGAAAAAAAAAAAAAATTCTTTTCATTCTGTTTTCACTGTGTGTTGAATACGTGTTAATGGGATACTGGTAACTCTAACAACTCTCACGTCACATCCGTACGTGTATGTAATTTCAATTCTTTTCGTCTTTAAAATTGATAATTCGAATCAAGAATTCGTTATATTTAAGAAAAATAACTTATTTCCTGTTGTGTACGAAATATTGTAATAAATTTATTTAAAAAAGAAAAAGTGGAAAAAAAATATTTTTCATTCTGTTTTCACTATATTAATACTTGTAACTCTTACGTTACATCCGTACGTGTATGTAATTTCAATTTTCTTCGTCTTTAAAATTAATAATTCGAATCAAGAATTCGTTATATTTAAGAAAAAAAATAATTCATTTCCCGTTGTATGTGCATATTGTAACAAATTTATTTAAAAAAAAAAGTGGAAAAAAAAATAATAAACAAAAGATAGAATCGCAACAAAATCGAAGAAAGATATATGTATATGTATATATATATATATGTATACACGCGGTGATCCGGTGGAAAAGAAATCTCTGAGGAAAATCGTAGGCCCTCGTATACCTCGTATCCGATTGCACGAGGATCGATAATAAACGAACGTTATCCCATGGTTGCGGCGACCTGTCGATTGCACCTGGTCCTGCGCGTACATACACCGGTTCGGCGGCGCAACACGGCATATCTGGTCCTGTTTGATGTCCAGGACCGGGTTCCACGGTCCGGATCGTGAGAGGAGGGTTAGCGGGTGAGAGGGGAAGGGGGGAGGGAGGGGAGGCTCGCTTTCTCGCATCCGTATAAGGCTTGTGCGTGCATACAGCAACTTGCAATGCTGTCGATGCTCCTTCTCTTTCTCTCTCTCTCTTCTGTCCATGTTTCTTCCTCTTTGGAAAGTACGAGAAGAGAGAGAGAGAGAGAGAGGGCAGGCACGAAACCTTGCGGCCACGAATTCGAGACTGGCCGGCCGGCCGGCCGGCCGACCCATTCGACCACGAAACGTGCTTGCTAGTAATTATCGCGAGAAGGTTTGCTTCGCCCCGCGGCCGTGTTCCTCGCCTGGCTGCGAACGCGGGATGCATCATCGCAGACGCGTCGATGCGTCTCGCCAGGCGTTATCGAATTAACCGCAACTCTCGAGAACTGTGTTTATTCCGTTTATACGCGTTATACACGTTATACACACAAGCACACACGGATACGAATGTCTTTTGTCGAGGCTCTAACTTCCACGTAATGAGATTAGTTACGCGACCGACAATGCATCGAGAAATTTTGTTTCTCTCGAGCAAGGTGTACGGCACCGAGTTTCGTATTCAGACCCGTAACACAATGTCTTCATTCGTCTTCATTTGTCGCCGATATCCAAGCTACCGTATCGAACTATACTATACGAAATATATATATAGTAGTATATTCGCTGACGCGAAACCGCGCGAATGATTAACTGTCAAATTCTCGCAGGCAACGAATGAAGGAGAGCGAATCGAAGACGACCGTTTCTTCGACTATATATATTCTTTACCGCAAACGATACGATTACACGGGTAATTAGCCGTTTGGGATCGGTCGAGCCGAGCAAAACGATAGAGGCTCGCTCGAAACAAATCGAGCGTGATGTCCTTTCTTCCTTCCTTCCTTCCTTCTCTTAAAGGTAAAGGGGGAAGGTGGGGTTGAAAGTGTCGCGATCTCCGCTCTGTTTTCGCACGTGGGGTTGTTAAAACATCAACGGGTACTGGCGCTGCGATTCTAAGTGCGCTCGCTGTCCCACCCAGCGGGAGGGCGTTGCTATTATTGTTGGTGGTGCGCGTTCACGAGGCTCGACACGCGTGAGACACGTTTCGCGCGGACAATGGCGAACAATGGTGTGTTGGCCGGCTGTATGGAAAATTATCTCGAGATCGAATTACATTAATGTTTCCATTTCGGACTGTTTACGAGGTGTGCGTCAGCTTCCATTCC